GATATTACCTCTCTTTTTCCCCTTTCAAAAAAAAAACTAGAAATGATTGAAGTTTTTGTATTTGGAGTAGTGCCCGGTGAAAATGGGCCGAAAAAAAAAAAAGCCACGTCGGCAGCCACGTCAGCAGGCCCGGTCAGCAATCCCGGCCAACCGGGGCCTGCCACGTGGCAAGACCACGTCACTCCGGAACGGGCCACGTTGGCGATCCGCGTGAGCGCGATCGGACGGCCCAGATGCAATCGCACGGACGGCCCAGATTCAATCAAAAATGGACGGCCCAGATTAAAACAAAATGGACGGCTGAGATCAAAGGGCAAGGGGTTATAAATAGAACCCCCACACCAGACCACAAACCCTAGCCGCCTGCCGCTCGCCGGAGAAGACGAACCAGAAGCCGGCCGCCGCCACCCGCCGCCGCACCGGAGGAACTTCCGACCGCCGATCGAGATAAATTTCGTACCCCCGACTCGTTTTTCCACGCTGATTCCTCCTGTGGCCAAATCGGAGCCAAAATCCCGGCCAAACGGCCGGAATACACGGCCGAAGCCCAGCGGCGCCGCCGCGCCCCTTCTCGATTTTTGCCTCGATGAGGCCCTTCCCGGCCTCCGTTTGATGCAATTTTTATATCACCGTGATCACCATTCTTTTCTCTACAGGTTGACCGGATCCGAATCACCAAAACACGAACCTCGTCGGAGAGCCGCCGCACCCGAGAGCGCCGCCGCCGGTAAGCTCTATTTTTCCGTGATTTTTTGGCCCCCCGAGGGCCCTAGGGTTGTTTTCTCACAGGGACCGATGCGAGTGTGGCCGAAAACAGCCAACCCGAGGTGACTCGCCGTCGCCGGAGCACGGCGAAGCCGCCGTGCCGGAGTTGCGATTTGGGCCGAAAGGGGCCCTGGGCCTAATTTGGGATTTTTTTTTGGAACACGTGCAGGTACCAGTAGTACGTTTCAGTTCCCCGAGGAAAATTCAGGGAAAATTAGGGACAGCCTGCAAGCGCACTGTGAAGCCGTGTTCGGACCCCGAAACGAGTAAGGACCCCTCACCCTATTTCCTATCACGGTATTAAAGTTCAAAA